AGTCCCAACAGAGATCTACCAGCCTCTGCCCTGGGGAAAGCCCACTGAATTCCGATACCCCACCTGTCTGTCTGCAAACAACTCTTCTACTAAGTCCGTCGGCCCCTGAATCTCTAGACATGAAGGAAAGCCTTCTGATTCATAGAGAAGCCTTAAGACACAGAGCTTCACTGGGAGAGAAGATAGAAGAATTTAAACCTGTACTGAACTCCACTTGACCAAGAGAAAGAGAAGAAACACTTCTAGAAGAGAGAGTCCGGTGTCTGAAGGACGGAGACGATGATCTGAGTTGGGGAAGGGAGAGCAGGAAGAGTGTCCAGAGTGTCCAAGACAAGCGTCACCCACTTCTTGATGTTGCCCAGGCTGACGCTCTGTATTGCAAGGGTAAAGTGCTGCAGGTGGGCAATCGGGAGGTGATAATGGACAGTAGAAAGGACACAGGCTCCACAATTCTGGGTCGATGTGACTCTCACTCAGGATTTCCTATGGATACTAACATGAGCCTTGTAGAGTCAGGGTCAGTATAACATGAGTTACTCTGTGTAAGACACACTTGACTTGTTATTATAATTACTAATGAATCCCAACATGGATTCTCTCAAAATCAGTTACAATAGTAATTGAGCAAAGACAAGAACATTTCCATTTCCAAGAAAAGATGGAAGGGCTCACTCTCCCTTCATCAGAGAGCTGAGTAACTGCCTAGGCGATGGGAAACTCGCTCTCATTTCTCTCGGATGTCAGAGGGACCGTGGGTAGAATCGGTCTCCGCCTGACAGAGACCCAGGGCTGTCTGGGTTCCTCATGCTGTCTTGCTAAATATGCAGGCAGAGTCACCACACATGAAACCTCCCATCAGGGACTTTTCTGAGGGCAGTCCTGACAGAGATCTACTACCCACTGCACTTGGGGAAGCCCACTTGGGTTCTTTCAAGGCACAATCAGGTGTGATCCCTGCTTCTGGGTTTTGGCCAGTGAAATGCTTGCTACAAACCTCATTAAGGAAGTGGAGAAAAGAGCTGCCTCTAGAAAAGAATAGAGCACATCCCCTCCAGAAAACCCTGGCAGAAGATGTCAGTATTAGGGGAGAAGCATCCTAGAACAGACCGTGAGAAAAAAAATCAGTGAACGTGAGCAGGAATATATGTAGTGTTCCTAGTAGCCTAAGCTCTGCATTTGCAGGAGACTTGAGCAGATGGAAGTTAAATCTGCAGGTCAGGAGAGCTGTGCTTTCCTTCTGGCTACTGCTGAAGCCTCCTTTTGGTGAATCCTTAGTTCAAGTGTTCTTCTGTTCTTGTAAATGTTGGGTTAAAATTGGGAGCTGCTACAACACCTGATGGATTATAAATGCTAATCAATCTTCAAGTGCACCATTCATTCATTCATTCAAAAGTACTTATGAAATGCCTCCTGTGAATTTATTTCTCTCTATAGTCATGAAAACTTACTGCCTATTGAAAACCAGTTGATGGAGGGAGAATTGGATTGGTGTCCATATAACCCAAAACAGCAACAACAAAAAATAACAGTAACTTCAAATCAAAGCCATGGCAGTGGGGTCCTCAACTCCAGTCTTGCTCCGTGTATTAAGCACCTCTCTTCTCTTCCTGAGCCTTTTCTCTCTGCTTCCTTATCTTCAGCATTTCTTCCCCTTCACTCTTAATTTGCCACCTTTCCAATGCCCTTCCTTTTCTTCCTTCCACCCCCTCCCTCCCTTCCCCATGTTCTTCTACTCCTATCCCTTCCTCTCTTCTCTACCCCTCTCTCCCCTTTCAATCTCCCTTCTTTCACTCTGCCTGTTTCATTTAATGTTTAATAAATGATTTTTTAGTTGTTTTACAGCCAAGGCTAATGCTCTTTAAACTTTGCCATTGAAGTGCTGCTTGCCAGAAAAAAAAAAAAAAAAGAGTGCAGAGAACCCAGGGGAATCTGAGAGCTTAGCTTCATGTGGTTGCTGAAGCATGTAATTTCTTGACTTTTTTCTTAAACACTCAGACAAATCTGCATTCCATTCCATATTGCATCCATGTGTAAATTGCAGAAAAAATATTTTCCCACAATCTCTGGTTAAAAATTGATGAACAAAATTGAGTTACTTAACCCATGACCAAGGGCCACATACACTCAGGGATGCAAGTCTGAGCTTTCTGGCTCTTTATCCCCATTTATACCTTCTAGGATTCCTGTATGAAGAAGTACAACTTCCCTGCCTCACCTCTCATTTTGGAACAGGTAGCTTCCTTTCTCATTAAACGTGATTGGTCTGTGAGCTGCAAGTTATAACTAATCAATAATGAGAGGTGAGAAGAGCTTATCGATTCACATGAGGAAAGGAAACCCACAAGCCTGCTTGATGCACAGAAATGGGACTCTCGGGGGGTGGCTGTGGGTCAGAAGTCTGCTCAGCTTCACTCAGTCCATGCCCATGGCAGTCACCTGGCAACGTGCTCCACATCCACGGAGCTTACTTCTGGGTAAACGAGCTCTTCCAGGTTACAGGATTGGGGTCAATGAGGGCAAGTTTTTTGCTTGTTTGTTTGTTTGTTTAAGAAAATTGGAAGCAGGCTGAGCTTACCAGGATATTAAAGGAGAGATTAATGCTTCTCCTTCTACAAAAGTCAGGAACTGTTCAACAGCATCACAAGAAATGAAACCACCAGATTTCACTCACCAGATCAGAAGGTGTGAACATTAGAGATGAGAGATAAAGTTAAATGATATGCTTCTTCCCGGGCAGAGTTTCCAAAGATACAGTTCATCCTAGTGTTGGTACCTGATGGGCTCATTCTAGTCCTCCCCACAGTCTGATACAATAGTTATCATCCTTCCCATTCTAGGACAAACAAGAGCAAGCTTGGACAGTCAGGTGATCTACCCATGATCAAATAACTTGCATGTGGCTACGTTAGGATGATAACCTATATTTCCCTGACACCAGAGTCCATATCTTTTTTACACACTACCCACTGCTTTCTTGAACTCAAAGCTAAGGCTGAGCTACTCTTGAACTTGAGATGGTCACCCTTGCAGACCTAGTCTTTCTCTGTGATCCAGGGTCAGAAAAACCTTATCAGTCTAGACCTACAGATTTCTCCCCCTTGCATAGGTCATCTTATTCTAACTTTGCTGGCAGCACTTCCCCCATAGCTAGAAGTCTTTGTGGCACATAGTTTCCTGTTTCTGAAAGTTGACCGTCTTATTCACTAAAGCTTAAACCATTAAATAGTGCTCTTGAGGAGCCTGAGATGAGCCCAGTTTGAGTGCATCTGTTCCTGTCTCATACTCCCTAGAGACCTTCCTCACTAATTTTAATGTTTTCAGCACTCCATCATACTGTAGCCCTCCTAGATTTTACCAGATGGATGTTCTGTTTTTATTTTTGATTTTTTTAAAGTTGCTGCTAATAAGATAACCCCTATTTGTGACGTTTAGATCACGCAAGGATTGGACTACATTGAGATCCATTCTCAGTCTTTGAGGTAAGCTGCAGGGTTCACCCTATATCCAGCTCCCAACCTCCTTTCCCCCAGTGGGGATGGATGGGAGGGAGGGTTTTGAACAAGCACATGCTGAGTGACATTATTCTTCACCGCAGATGGGGTCCCACAATGAGCACTGGCTCTGTGGGCCTCAGAGAGTCTGCATGGCAGAGCACCACCCGCTGGGTCCAAGTCCCGTCATCACCGTCACAAGGACAGCCAGGCCAGGGGAGTCTGTGCTCTATTCTCCAGCTCCTCTGCTTCTGTCCCTTCCACCTGAGCCGTTATTTAGCTCAGTTGTGAGATCTCTGTCTCCTCTGTTCTGTTTTTCAGCTGTTTTCTTGTCTCAGCAGAACTCCTTGCTTAGGTTTAAAGAGGCTGAGCAGTTTGTTCAACGGTCAGCATCCTCACATTTTGCTTCTCTTCCTCCAACCATAGAGCCATCAGCAGGGACACGGAGTATCCCGGAGTCACTCACACTGAGGCAGTGAATCAGAGTTGTGTTCTCGCTCTCCAAAAGAAGGAGTGCTCCAGGGAACAAGACCTTAAATACTTAAACTTATTTTAGGAGGAGAACACTATGGTTTCCAAGATTAAATCTTATGTAGGATTTGTATGTAAAATAAAGTGCACAGATGGCAGCTTTGTGGGATATGGGGAGAGGAGATGCAAGATCCGATCACTCAACCTACTCTCCTCTGCTGATTCTTCAGGAAGAAGCGCACAAAGCCGCCTGCCTTACCAGTAATTGTAGGGCTCTCCAAGTTTATTCACGGAGAAGTGGTGAGGCGTACGAAGGTTTTAAGGAAAACTAGGGGTAGTGGCCTCGGCGGTGGCCAACAGTTGGCCACTGTGCTGCCGCAAGGCCGCCCTGGGCGTTTGTCACCGTAGACGTGCTTTCGATTTTCTTGCAGAAAGAGGCCCTGGAGTAGGAAATTGCAACCCACTCCAGTATTGTTGCCTGGAGAATTCCACAGAGGAGCCTAGTGGACTATTACTGTCCATGGGGTCACAGAGAGTCAGACACGACTGGGCACACACAGATAAACACATACACACATTCTTTCATACATTATTTTCCATTCTGGCTTGTCGCCATCCCTTCTGGAGGTTGAATATAGTGCCCTGTGCTATACAGCGGGACCTCGTTGTGTATTCGTTCTCGACAAAACTGTTCCTATCTGCTAGCCCCAAACTCCCAAGCCAGCCCTCTGCCGCCCACCGCCCCCTTGGCAAGCACAAGATGGTCTCTGTGTCTGTCAGAATGACATCGTTAAAAAGCCCACAAATACCACTCGTAGAGGAGAGGGCGCTCCTCCACGGTTGGTGGGAAAGCCAGTTTTTACAGCCATTGTGGAAAACAGTCCCGAAACTAGAATTGCCGAACACGATCCTGCAATCCTGCTCCTAGGCATATAACCAGAGAGGACTAAAACTAAAAGTGACACAGGCGCCCACTTTGGCCTTTTTAAAAAGCCTTTCGCGTTGGCCACACAGTGAATAGCTGCTTGATAAACTGAATTAAAGCGGAGAGGGCTGGCGGGAGCCCGAGCGCAGGCAGCAGCCTGCGTGGGGGCCGCAGCGGCGGACGCGGCGCCGTCCAGGGCTCTCTCCACAAGCTGCCTCCGGTTGGCAGCGCTCCAGGGAGACGTGGGCCTTTGGCTCCAGGGCCGAGGCCGTCTTAGCGACGGCGCCTAGACATTTTGAAAATACACACGTGAAGCTCAGCTGCGCGCCGTCTGGATTCAGGCTGAGTTTCTGCTTCTGGGGGAGTGTTGCACTCACCACGGGCAGACACATTTCCCTAGTGTACCAATCGCTAGAAAATCACGTTGCCTTAGATCGACGCTGCACGTACTTACGAGTGAACTCCAAATGCTCCTGCTCTCCATTCTTTTATTTGTTTAAATTGGACCCATTGCTTTGTTTTTCTTCTTCATCTCTTTGGCCATGCTCCATGGCCTGCAAGGTCTTATTCCCTGACCAGGGATTAGATCCAGGCCGTGGCTGTGATGCACTGAGTTCTAACTACTGGGCCACCAGGGAACTCCCCACTCTGCGTTCTCAATAGAATTCAATATAATAAGTAATTTATGATGCTATATGTACATGCATATATATGTGCACACACAACTATATGTATAATAAATTTGAGATATTATTAGTTTTCTTTCATGGTTAATGTGCCAGGTACAATTTTACATGTGCATGCATGCTATGTGAACTGTTTATTCTGGAAAATGTCAAAATTTATTATCCCCCAAGGTCAATATTGACTTGGGTGTCACCTCTGTGAATATTTGCCTCTCTAAATAATGAATTGAAATGGGCATTTGGATGGAAATTAATATCCATTTATTTTCTGAAATTGAATGTCTTTTGCCATGAGAATGGATAAATGCTGTTGGGAGGCGTGCAGGCCTCCAGTGGCCCACTGTGGAGACCCTGTTTAAGCGTAGTGCTCAGGAAGCATCCTTTGCATTCTGATTTACTTTGGTCGGGGGGTTTTAATAGTTCTTTCACATGATTCTTTTACCTAATGGACAGAATGCAAAACTTCAAATATATTCAGCTTGGCATTTCAGTAACATAATCAGGAGGTAATGATAACTTGTGTATATGGGTAATAAGTATACATGGAATTAATGAGCACTTTAGTTTTGGGATTTATTTAGGATAAACTAGTTACCTGAGAAACACAAAACTCCTTCAACAATAATTTAATTCAATGAAAAATACAGGGAGAGAGATAAAATTGCAAAGTGTTTCCTTTGGTTTTGAGCTATTGACTTAATGGAGTAAGGGAATGACTTAATGCTTTCAAAAAAATTTTTGATGTGTCGTGTGTTTTGGAGATATGAGATGTATGCCTGTGTGTGTATATGTATTAGTACACTGCTTATGTCTTTCTTTACAAAAGTCAGTGCCTCACACATATTCAGGCATCTTTTAATATATCAAACTAATTTGAAATTCTTTCTTAAATTGTGAGTCTACAATAGAGATATTTCCTGTTGCTCCTCCCTCACTGTTTTATTAACTTCAGATATTGAGTGGCAATATATATTTTTTTGGCTTAAAAGAGCTGATAATACATTTAAATAAAAATATAATTATGACAAGTGGCTATGTTCTGTTATATATGCACAATAAAGTGTATGCTTTTCTATACCAATGTACACACACATTGCGTTCTTGGTTTTGTCCTCTATAAATAAGACAGAGTAGTTTAGAGGCCATGTCAGCAAATCTTTTCTAGCTGTCAATGGTCAGATAAAAGACCTGGACTTAGGAAGAAACTATCGTAATTAAGCACAGGCTGTGGCTTCATAGTTGAGAGAGTAAACCACTGTGGAAACTCATTAGTAAAGTTGATCTGACGAACATCTGAGCGAGTGGAACAGAATCACTTTGAGGGGAGAATGTATGACTCTCATGGCGCTTTCGCCCTTGCTGGTATGTTGCCTGGGATGAAGATGTCTATGTTTTCGACATAAATGCCTATTGTTGGGCAATTCAGTTTGACTTACTGGATTCCTATAGCCAAGTGTTGTGTGGCTTTGTTGGGGAAATGATGTTATTTGGTATGTGAGGAAATAAAAAGCCCTCAGTTGATAGCCAGTGCAAGTCTCATTCTACACATCATCCAAATCGCATCCCACATCAGAAGCTAAGCCAAGACAACACCTCTGTTCCCTGTGCTGGGAAGGTGTGATTACTGGAAAAAGCCGAAAGACATCGGGGGGCTTTTCTGTCCATATTTTCATGTACATGTGTACACACGTGTGCTCAATGTCAATTAATTTAGCTTGGGCTTCTCTTTTAAATCAAATGATACCTGGTGTTAATCAGTTGTTCTCAGCTGGAAGTGACTTTCCTCCAGGGGACATGTAGCAATATTTGGAATATACATCCTCTATTTTCACAACTGGAGGTTTGCTAGTGGCATCCAGGTGTTAAATCCAGGGAAGTTAGTATAAGCTTTCCTGGTGGCTCACTGGTAAAGGACCTGCCTGCCAAGCAGGAGATGTAGGTTAGGTCCCTGGCTCAGGAAGATCCCCTGGAGAGGAAAATGGCAACCCACTCTAGTATTCTTGCCTGGGAAATCCCAAGGATGGAGGAGCCTGGCAGGCTACAGTTCACTGGGTTGCAAAGAGTCGGATACAACTTAACAGCTGAACGGCAGCAGCAGAGATGTTAGTACACACTCGGTGATGGACAAGAATGTGTCCCACAATAGATAACTATCAGCCTCAAAGGTCAAGATCGTCAACATTTGGGGAACACTGAAGTTCTGTCAGTCATTTACTGATCATCATGTATTAATTCTTAAAGATTCCCAACATACATACACATACACTTGACTTCCTTCTAACCTCTAGTCTTGTAAAAAGATGCTTAGACTAGAAGAAGAGAAATCAATACATATCTGCTCCTGATTTTGTCACTTACTGGCCACGGGATTTGATGCTCATCATTCCACATTTTTCTCAAATAAGGATGATGATATCTGCCCTAACGGCTTTGCTATTGTGAATAAGAAATGAAGTAAGGCATGTCTTTGGAGAAGCTGTACACATACATTTTTGATGTATTGATATTTATTAGAATTTTTATTATTTGGAAGAGTCATATTCTAAATGAACTGTCTAGGGACTTGAGACATATAAAGGATGACAGGTGTGCTGTGGGTGCAATGTAAAGAAGGATCAAAGGGATGTGACCTGGACTAGGAGCTGCCAAGGTCAATTTCACACCATTTTTCAGGTTTTCTAGCTCCTTTGTGGTTCCACTTTCAGTTTTATCTTGAAAAGCATCTGGTCAGGTTGCCTTCAATAGAACACCATGAGCTGTAGTGCAAAAGCTAAAGTATTTTATATTTTATAGTAAAGCATTTTCTATTTATCATTTTTTTCCTCTTCATGGCCCTCTCACCCCCCAATATACATATATATGTGAGAAGTTCTGGGATGAAATGAAAGGTGCCAAAGTGGCCAAGGCAGGTGTTTCTGAGGTGATATAGCTGCATGGCTCAGGAAAGGCCATGAACCAATCTCTTCAGAATACAATTTCTACCCCGTTTAGCAGCTCAATGACCAGTTAGATAAGGGCCTTAGCTTTGATTGCTTACCTGCTCCAACCTAATCTTTGATTTTTAGAATCAATTAAAGCAGAAATACAGTCTTTGTCTTTTCAATAGAAATGGGATGGCTGACCTTGGCCTCTACTGAATTTCTGTTTTTTCAAAAAGGCGGGTTATAAAAGGCTAAAGAATTGGGAAAGGGACCTTTGAAGTTAAGTGGTCCAGCCACAACCTGAAAAACCTGTAGAGATCTCCACATTCACTAAATGTATTCCTCTATTTGGCTACTCCATCCTACTTCTTATAAGCATAGAAATATGACTTCCCAGGAGAACTCACTGTCTTCTGCAAAAATTGTCAGTAGAGGATCCCTCCTTCTGCTGTACCTGATTCTACTTCTCCAAATTCCCAAACACTCCTCTTAGCTTGCTTGTTGGACCATCCCCAAACCACCAAGTTTCATCCTTCTTTATCATGATCTTCTTCTTTGTTTTTTGCAAATACCTGAGAACAACAATCCCAGTTCTCTTGGTCTTCTTATCTCTTCTTTTATTATTTTGACAACATAATTTCTCTTCCTCAGACATCTCACCATCGTCTGCCCCCGTTTTTTACTTATACTACTTTGTCAGTGATGGATGTGTACAATATAACATTCAGAACAGAACAATCATTCCTCCAGATTTGTTCTACCTGACTGTGGGGACCACAGTGTAATGACCATAGGGAACCCTGGGTGGCAGAGGAGATTTGGGAAGGTTTTACAACCACATAAAGCCTGAAGTCTGAGATGAATCAAATGGATGTCACCAAAGAGCTGTATTGCTTTAAAGGCCGTTATTGTCTCTCTTTCCTCCCACTCACTGCTTTCACTTAATTAGCCATCAACAGATATAAATGGTTCTCCTCATTTTGCTCAAGGATATCTTGCAAAATTTTATATTGGCAGTTTTTACTAAATTAAGTGAAGCAGGAACTTTCATCTTCCTTCTATCTACACAAATCTTCTCCATGGTCCAGTTCCAGCCCTTTCTTCTCTAGTCTTAATTATTTTTGCTCTCCTCTAAACCTTTAAAGTCTATACCATATAAATTACATCTTTAAGCTATTAATTACACACTGCCTTTCTGTGGCTTCTGTTTTTCTTTTCATTCAGAATTTGCCCAATTATAATTTAGTATAAATAATTACATTTTCTATAGTCTTCGTATATGTTACAAAATGTTATATTATATTGGTTTATATTAATGTAATATAATAGTAATAATAGCTACTGCTATTGACTGTTTACTGTGTACCAGATCTTATCATTTACTTATATCACTGCTAATCTACTCCATAATCTATATGATTAATATTTTGTAAGAAACTGAGATTTATATAGGCTAAGTAATTTACACTTATGAAGTAACTGACCTGAGATCCAACCCTGGTTTCTGATTCCAAAGTACTGTGTTTTTCCCGGGAGGACAGCATGGTAGACCCTGGAAAATAGCTAAGCTCCTAATAGTTTCCCTGTCTATCATCATGGCAGTTGATTGGAGGAAATCACATCATTTCACAATATTTTTTGAACACCGGTTCCAAACTAAGGACTGCTTTTAACCTTTGGTGAAAAAACATGTTCAATGCCTAAACATAGACCAAAGTGAAATACAGACCAGAGCTTTCCACCAGCCTGGGGACCCACCTCCCTAAGGCCTCCTTGTGGAGATGA